ACAAAACTCGAACAGAAATTAATGCGGAATGTAATAAATTATTATCACCTCTGACAGTACGATTCCATGACATGAATAGAGATTTTGCATCCATTTCACACCTAATAGATAACAGATCTAAACGAAGTGCTTGGATAGGAGGTATAGGGAAAATACTCAAACACATTGCCGGCTCGTTAGATGAGGAAGATGGGTTGAGATACAATGAAGCAATACAATCTTTGCAAAATGATGAAAGACAGTTGACTTCACTAATGAAAGAAAATATCTTGATTACTACTTCAATGTTAACAAACTTTAATAACTCATTACATGTAATAAGAAATAATGAAATTAACCTTAGTGAAGCTATCGACAACCTCTCGTTAAACGTAAAAAATATGAGAGAAGTTACAGACGAATTACAAATGCTCGCTCAAGTTAATGAAATAATTAGTATCTTGGAAACAACGATACTCACCTTGTCATTCCAGTTAGAGGATATCATAAATGCCATCTTATTCAGTAGTCGGAATATTCTGCATCCCGCTATAATTACACCAAGTCAAATATATCGAGAGCTTGCCGATAACTACAGAAACTTACCTAGTGACCTCGAATTACCTGTAGAATTAAATATTAATTCTATGTATCTCATTTTAAATATTTCTAGTGTAATATGTTATTATATAAATGATAAGATTATATTTGTTCTGCAAGTACCACTGGTTAATACCAGAGAATATGTATTATTCCATAGTCTTAGTCTTCCAACACCCTATAACTCTAAAGAACCGAATTCGTTTAGTTTAATCATACCTGATTATAGATATATAGCAATGACCAAAGATAAATCTCACTATTGTACTTTCGACAACCTGGAGACCTGCAAAACTGTGAACCCTGGAAACTTCATCTGTGATATAGAAAATGTGTATTCCGTGGACGCGAAGCCCACATGTGAAAGTGAAATGTTAACAAAAGTTATTAGTGAAATACCATCGCAGTGTGAAACAAAAATCATTATAGGGAAACTAGACATTTGGAAACCATTAACAAATAACAAATGGATATACATACAATCAGATCCTAACAAGATCACAATAGATTGTTTAAATTCTAAATTATATGAAACAACCATCTTAGGCACAGGCATACTTAGTATTCCTGATAATTGTATTGGATATTGTAAAAGCACGACACTAATACCAAAATATAATGTTTTAAATATTACATCCCCGATTAATCATATCCCCGATTTTAACCTCATCAATGATGAGTGCTGTAACTTAGTTAAGTTAAACATTGTAACGAATAATGTGTCTCCTGTTCATTTAAAAAATATAGATTTGGACGAATTTAGCTCTCAAAACAAAAACATAGTCAGTTTAGTATAAAAGCAATTTATAACAATTACCTCGTTTATCAGTAAGTTTATTTTCACGGCTGCTCTTATCAGTACAATTCGACACACAAATACAGTTGTATAATACTACTTACAAGTTACAATTTATCAGTTGTTGCCAAGACTACTATTAATAGAAAATACATTTGCTTCAATATTTTTCATTCGATAGAAGGGTATTTAGAATAGAATAGAATAGAAATCATTTATTCAAATAAACTTACATTGAAGCACTTTTGAATAGTCATTACATTTTTTTAATCTACCGCTCATTCGGAAAGAAGATTCTCATTACAAGAAGAACGAGCAAGAAATTTGCGTGTTGCTCTTTTAAATAATTTTATTATTATTTTCCATTTTTAAGTTTAAGTGTGTGAATACAAACCACCAATTAGCACAAATTCAATTAAATACTCAAATAGAAAAAATATTGAATATATAACCAACTGGTTAAACAATTAATAAGAGGGAATCAGTCATAGATATCAGAGCAGACCAGTCCCTATAAATAGCACCCGTTCGTGAGTATAACGGGTGAGCCAGCCATCACTGCGCTCGATCATATTTTAGAGAGCCCAATGACCCCGGCCCACCACGCCGCCACAAGTATGGACAACTGAATAAAACTTAAATAAAAAAATACATGGAGTCGAACTTATAGCCTTTTTTTTAATTGTTGTGTTAATAGACACGCGAGCAACCAAATCAACTCAAGCGCTACCTCTGCATTCAAACATGGTTTTAAGTGAATGTATACAACATTTTAATACAAATGATATGTCATTTGAAAGCTTGAAATCTAAGCTTTAAAAAAAACATTAACACTGTGAAATAAAACAAGTACAAACATGTTCATTTGTGCAATTAGGGCGTATGAGACAAATTACTTAGAGATGTGTCAACTCGAGTTAACTCGAGTTGCGGTGAATTCGAGTTAACTGGAGTTGAATTCTGCCAACTCGAGTTGGAAGTATTCAACTGGTAAATGAACGAATCAAGTGAAAGAGCGAGAGCGAGTCTGTCATCGAACCGACGATGACATGAAATTTTCCGATCATTTCATATCATACAATTTTCACTCGTCACAAATGTTTCAATATTGATTTGTGGTCGTTATCATTTTTTTTTACGCATATTCGTCCGGTTATGTTATCATTAAAATGATTATGCATTCCATAAGTCCTTCCGCGGCTTTGAAGTGCCATTTCTACTCGCACCCTATGGTTCGGTGAAGCTTTCAAGGCTGGCTGCGGCCAAAAATATGCAGAATTGTTGGTTGTAACAACATGTCCGATTGAGCACCCTACAACCTACAACACACTTCACTCGTCAAAATATTGACGTAATAAATTATTACAAGTATATAATATATTCATAAACATTCATAATTGTGTACTATTATTAATTATTTACTTAGTAAGTCGTACTCGGTATTACGTGTGATTTTGTAAACAAGGGAAAAGTTTTGACGACCTCGGTGGTCTAGCGGTTTAGCACACGCACCGCCTTACTTCCAATGGTCGCGGGTTCGATTCCTCGCACGGCACAAACATTCGTGATTATTTGTAGCGATTTGGATGTATTTACGAAAAAAATATCTATGTATTTGTATCAGTTATATGTATAGTACCCAGTTGCAGTTTATTATAGACCCTGGAGGTCGATATATAATCACTGGTCTAGATGATGTTGTGTGAATTGTCCTGAGATTATTATTATTATTTATTGGGTAGGTACGAAAATGGTTATCCATAAATCTTTATATATTAGATATTTATTGTTATTGGATAAGTTATTAATATAAATAATATAGTATAATAATGTCTAAGGTCAAATTCACACAACGCCATCTAGTTCCAAATCAAATAGAGCTTGTATTATAGGTAGGTACTAGACAACTGATATAAATATTTAGATTATATATACATACTATATAATAAAACAACTAATATATATATATGTATAAAAAACCGAGTTTGATACGATTATATTCCTAAATACAAATGTTTGTACCGTGCGAGGAATCGAACCTGCGACGATCTGTAGACCACAGAGACCGTCGTATACATACATATATCTATATATATAAATTATATATGTATATTAAAAAATATATCATATATAGATGGATGAACGATATACTTGTACCTACCTATCTTCAGCTCACACGTAACAGCGAGAAAAAAAGTTGAACAAAACAAAAACAAACTGATTGGCTAAATTAAAATCACGTGTGCGTTATTTAGAATGCATAATATTGAGCTATAGACATAGCTAGTTTATATAAGGTACCTGGGTCGAATATGGCCACGTTAAGGTTTGACACTAGAAATAACGTATTTTATAACAATGAAAAGATACTAATAAATATTAATTTGATAACGTATTTATTTAGGTAATATATCGCGGGCACGGAAAAACCTAGAAACGGATAGGTTAGGATTTGTGTTAATTTTTTTAAAAGCTGGGAAAATGGCCATACTTCCGACAGTGTATGTGAATATGGCCAGGTGATGGCCATATTAACGGTATGAACTGACTATAAAGGTAATTTCTATTTGCAAGGGAACTTAGTGCTATAAATAAAATAAATTTATTGAAACAACTTGTTTAACCAAATATAGCAACAAAAAAAATTCAACTCAGAAGAAAAAATAATCTTTTACATTAGTAATTAAGTAACTATTAATTAGTTCTAAGATTATGTGGTTTGAGATCACATACTCTTAAGTTTGCACTCAGTCTTAATCTTAATATTTAATTAATTATTATTAATTATTATTTATGTGTTTGAAAGTGTTACTAATAGTATTATGTTATCTGTGCTAATAGATTTCTTATGTATATACTTAACTAGCTACTCGTCCCGGGTGTACATGTATTATACATATAAACATTCCTCTTGAATCACTCTATCTATTAAAAAATTAACTTCAAAATCCGTTGCGTAGTTTTAAAGATTTTAGCATACAGCGACAGCGACTTTGTTTTATACTATGATAATTTGTGTATCTATAGTCTATGTAGGTACAGACAAAATGTGATAGAATTCATATTCAATACCATTTAGTATCTAAACGAGTCATTTTTTCCAACTAAAAAAATGACTATACAACGGTAGTTCTGTTATCATACCGTATGCAAAAAATCAATACCCTCAATTAAATATCTTAATATGTAATATCTTTACCAAACCAAGTCCAATGTACAAGGAACTATTACCTAACAAATAATAGCTACATATATTTAAATATCTTACTATAAATTTACTACATATATTTGCATTTCTTCATAATGTAGATGTATCTGAAAAATACAGAATCAAAAAATGTAATTATTAAATAAAAACATTAATAAACGTTCCCATTAAAAAAAAACTCAATAAATTGCAGGGACGATCTCGATGATGTCTTTTTAAAAAAACATAAATCAGTTTCTTTATTTAGAGCTTTAGGGGCTACGATGCAACCGACAGATACACAGATATAACTCGAAATATTCTTCTTCTTCTTCTTTCGTTTCAATGCCAACTAAATACTTGAACTTATAACACTTTTTGCGTCAGAAGTGAAAAAAAACCTGTTCCATAATAATGACTTAATTATTTATTTTTCAGTTAGAAAATTGGCGACCGAACAAATATTGCCACTAGTGAGGAAAATGGAGGATGAGCATAGAATTGATGATGGAGTCAGGAAACTGTTGTTTGACAATGGCGTACGTACTATTTAAATTTATTTTTTATGTAACTGGAATGGCAAACATGCTGACGGCTCCATCTGTTGTTAAGGGTGTATACATAAACAGCAGCACGCGTTGCCACTCAAGAGAACAAGTTGTTACGCCTCAGTATTCCATCATTGGGCAATGGCCTTCAATCGCACACATCTGCTTGATTTATAAAACAGATAAGACAAAGATACTCATACAGTAGACGTCAATTATGTTTATTTTTATTGTCCTTTAATATATGTTACGTATTAAAATTGTCCGCTCGCTGGTCTAGCGATTTAACACACCGTTTTACTTCCGATCGTCGCGAGTTCGATTCCTCGCTCGCATTAAGTATGATTGTTTGAATCGGTCTAGGTGATTTCTATATTTATATTATGTATGTATTCATAAAAAAATATTAAAGTATTTATATCCGTTGTCTATCCATAACATAAACTCTGCTTACCTTGGGACCAGATGTTGTGTAAATTGTCCAGGGCTATTGTTATTATATAAAAAAAATACAATTAACATTTATATCTTCAGCTAATGGGCATCGAGACACCCACAGAGTACAGCGGCAGTGGCTGCGGGTTCCTCACCATGATGCTGGTTGTAGAAGAGCTGTCGAGAGTAGACCCAGCGGTGGCTGCGTTTGTCGATATTCATAACACACTCGTAAACTCCCTGTTCATGAAGTTGGGGACTGAGGAACAAAAGCAGAAGTATTTGACGAAACTCTGCACAGAATACGTGAGTATTGTAATATAGTACTATAGATATTTCAGAGTGTAAACCACGAGTCAGCATACGTTATGTAGAGCAGTCTACAAGATGTAGCAACAATTTATATAGAGTATCGTAAACACTGTAAGTAAAGGGCTAAGGATCGCGCCTTGGGTGACGCCATTCTCCAGTTGACTGCAGAGGTTTTATGATGACGATAATAATATTATTGTCATTTATTAATATCAGCAAACAAATAAACCCTAAAATGAAGGACAAACAACAATAACAGCTATCTATTTCATTTGCGATAAACAAAACAACCAAAAATACAACAGACTATAACAATACACTTGTACAAATACAATATGGCGATGTTATTGTTAAAAGCAATGTTTTTAATATAATTATAAATTCTAAAGCATTTATTCATGTTGGAGAATTTACTCACTTTTTTTGTCAATTTCTATTATTATTTTATTAAACTTTACGGTCCAATTCACATGGCAGTTTTTTTAATGGATGATTATGGAAATACACACCCTCCTGCACTAACAGTATATGCTAGGGAGACGCCAGTGGAGAATGACAAGATGAATATGAGGTCAGGTCAGTTGGATTATCGTGACATTCGCCAGGAAGATATCACGATAGTTTCCAGGGGAAACCGGAGGTCAACCTGACTGCTAGCCACAGGGTCGTGTTGTGTGTCTACTCTACTAACAACCTCCTCCCTTCAGATGGCAGTTTCGGATGAGAAGTTTTCGCATGAAACTCAACTGTTTTATAGGCACGGTATGGAAGCATAACGCCTTAGTACTTGGGAATGGCAATGCGTGATGCTATTCATATAGACGGCAACTGCCATGTTTCATTGACATGGGACATTCATTCTGGCGAACGGTCAACTTATTTGCAAATAGATATTGTACTGTTTCTTCTCACTCGCTGTTTACAGCTTAATGCCCGCATAACGACAGCAGTGTGTGCTAGAGATGACATAATGCTTCCTTCTCTTTCCCACATATACTAAAAACTCCGTATATGAACAACTAAAACTAAACAATAACCATTGATATTATAACGTTATATTTTTATGTACTAATCCAAGTCTTATATCATCAGGCTGGTAGTTTCTGCTTGACGGAACCGACATCCGGTTCCGATGCCTTCGCTTTGAAGACTGTGGCGAAGAAGGAAGGTGATAACTACATCATCAACGGCTCCAAGATGTGGATCTCAAACTCAGATGTCGCTGGAGTGTTCCTAGTCATGGCAAATGCTGACCCTTCAAAGGTAAAAAGAATTACGCCGTATGGTTTGTCATATATCAAGCCAAATAGAATATCTATAAACCTGAACCATCTTTGTCAAGAAACAAAGTGGAAATCTATACAAATAAATAAAATTGAAGTGTGATTAGGTCCTTACTAATAAAGGATAAGTAAAATATAAAAGGGGACTGTAATACTTATATATTTAATTCTTGAAGTGACATTAGAATTTAAAGAAAAGTGAAAGTGGCCCGGCCTGGTGGCTGCCAATAGAACTTTTCGATTCCGTTCGAACAAGTGTCTCTTTACTACTTGATGGATTTATTTTACAATAAGCATGTGTGAGACCACAAATATTCGGTGTGGAAACTTGACTACCGTTACGACCTTTTCTAGTGGCGATCAAATTCCGACCGTTATTGAGTCTACACCCATTTTGCGACACGTGTTTCGCCTCTGAACGAGGCATCATCAGGCGTTGAATAGAGTTCGGATAAAGGTTGGATGCCTAGTGTTGACTCTACGGCGAGTTCGGCGGTTTGGTCGCCGAAGTTTGGTAAAGTTATAGAAATCCATCAAGTAGTCAAATGGACTTCCGCAAAATAACACCTACTCGATTAACTTAAAAAAGTATCAGTAATTTCAAATTAAATTGAGACCATCGGTTACAATTAATTGTATAGGTAGTACCTACTAAGTTACTATTTAACTACATAACTTATTTAATAAAAGAATCATCAAAAACTATCAGCCTGTTAAAATATAATGCGGTGTTATTCATCTACAAGCCAGTCGTCAAGACATAGTATTTAGATATCAATCATCTATACATATAAATAAAATTGGAGTGTCAGTTTGTAATATTGAAATAACCGTTTTTTACTACATGCATATGAATATAAATACGGCACATACACCAAAATAACATTTTTTTACAATTTTTGTCTGTCTGTCTGTCTGTTTGTTTGTTCCGGCTAATCTCTGAAATGGCTGGACCGATTTTGACAGGACTTTTATTGGCAGGTATCTGATGTAATAAGGAGTAACTTAGGCTACTTTTATTTTAGAAAAATAAAGTTAAACTCCACGCGAACGGAGTCGTGGGAACGGCTAGTTTTACAATATAATTGCAAAACAGCAATGTTTATAATAGTGTCGTTACGCAACTCGTGGCGTTATCACGTTTTAAACTTATTGACACTAATATTATGTTTGATAATAGTTTAACTGATTTTAATCAGTTTTATAACGGACGGTAGAGGTTGTTCGGAAAGTAAGTTTGTTTTTTCCGACAGAAGATTTAATTTTGTACGAACTCAACTTCACACTTTTGTTTTGGCAAGGCTTTTGTGTGACACAGTTCAATTACTTCTATGCAGTAGTTTTTTTTTGGGCCTTTTTATGGATATATAAAATTTTGGAAAAAAAAGTTGTTCAAGCCAGAAATATTTATTTTACAAGAAATTTTTAGTGAAAGCCTACCATTATCACTTAGGGGTAAAAAAATATTTAATCAAATAGATAATCTCTGTTTGCCCTATGGTCGACTGGAGAAAATGCCATATGGACCTTTACTTTTGTATTTGTGTCTACGGACTACACATAAAATTTCGTCATAATCGGTTCAGTAGTTTTGTATACCGCGGACAAACGACGTGACACGAAAATTTTATATATTATATTCCTAATATATAAAAATTTTGTGTCACGTTCTTATATATTGTATTCAATTAAATTTCTTGCCAGTTCCTCTTTGAATTGAATCCGTATACTGAACGGTAGGGAAAAAATATTTATGAAAAAAAATTACGTTCATTAGCGGCTAAAATATCCTACATGAAAAAAAGATTTTTGATTTGATTTCAGGGATATAAAGGTATAACCTGTTTTATCGTGGAGCGTGAGACACCAGGCCTCACAGTTGCCAAACCAGAGAACAAACTTGGTATCCGCGCGTCAGGAACATGTATGGTGCACTTCGACAATGTTAAAGTACCAGAAGCAAACATTCTCGGAGAATATGGTAAAGGGTGAGTGTTCTTTTAATAGAAACCAGATAACAAACTGGGTATCCGCGCGTCAGGAACATGTATGGTGCACTTCGACAATGTTAAAGTACCAGAAGCAAACATCCTCGGAGAATATGGTAAAGGGTGAGTGTTCTTTTAATAGAAACCAGATAACAAACTGGGTATCCGCGCGTCAGGAACTTGCATGGTGCATTTCAATAACGTCAAAGTACCAGAAACAAACATCCTCGGAGAATATGGTAAAGGGTGAGTGTTCTTTTAATAGAAAGAACAGAACGAACTTACACGCAAAAACTACTGAGCGGATTTTGATGAAACTTTACAGTAATATTTACATCAGAATAACACATAAGCTATATTTACAAAATACCTAGTTATCCGTCTTCGTATAGGTCGTATGCGTCTATAGTCAACTGTTCTGTCTCTCCTAGTTATACCTTATAAGCGGCCAGCAAGCAGTCCTGCCAAAGAGGCCGCAACAATTTTTAACCTCCTTGTAGTCAACTCAACTAACACAATCATTAAATAAATCACGGGATCTTATCGCGTTCTATTTATATTGTTCTATGTCATGACTGCGTCAAATTTTAAAAAGTTAATTAATACTTTATGTGATCGTAGTTAGTCGTTGGTGGTTTGGTATAATAATAATAATAATAATCTCAGGACAATTCACACAGCGCCATCTAGACCCGAGTTAAGCTAGTTAAAGCTTGTGTTATGGGTACTAGACAACTGATACAAATACATAGATATTTTTTTTTTCGTAAATACATACTTATTATACATAGAAAACACCCAGACCGATACAAACAATCATACTCATGAATACAAATGTTTGTGCCGTGCGAGGAATCGAACCCGCGACCATCGGTCGTAAAGCGGTGTGCTAGACCGCTAGACCACCGAGGTCGTGTGTATAGCTAGTGGTATACCTACTATATGATAGTTTAAATAAACTGTTTAGATAAGCGCTACTGATTTGTATTGAGATTCCTTTATCAACCGACGTCAATAAGGAAAAGGTTATCAGGCCGCAACTGTAACTTTAGTTTGTCGTAATGTCTTCGTAAATTTGGAACAGATTTCGATCATTCTTTGATGATCTTCATTATAATAATAACCTAGGTCAATTCGCCTAACGCCATCTAGTACCAAACTAAGCAGATGTTGCGTTATGGGACTGCTAATATATATATTTTTTGCGATCGAAATTATGACGGCCTGAATCGAGGTTGAACCTCTAGCGATGTCCTCAGACCAAAGCCATATCTGTCAGGCGAGAGTTGGCCTTCAGCCTCTCCATAAGTCCTTCCATGGGCGTGGAGTGCCATCTGCACTCGCTTGTGAATTAATTGGTAATGAATTCCCGTTTCCGCATTTGGACCATAGAGTGTGATAAAATAGGATTAAAAATAATCTTTATTTAAATAAACTTAATATATGCACTTTGAATAGTCATATAATATTTTTTTTAATTTTAACGGTCATTCCGAAAGCAGACTCATCACAAGAATAACAAGCTAGAAACTGGTGTATTGCTCTTTTAAATAAATGTTATTTAGTTGTTCAGCATTTAAGAATTTGTGTGGATACAAACTGCCAAATAGACAAAAGTTAATAAATATAATAGCTACTTAAAATAAATCAGAAGAGCCAAAACTACTAAAGTAGCCAGCCAAGTTCCTCCCAACAATATCTTATTCTCCAATAAAATTTCAGTTACAAATACGCAGCTGGTTTCCTCAACGAGGGTAGAATCGGCATCGCCTCGCAGATGATTGGCCTCTGTCAGGGCTGCATGGACGCAACCATACCGTACACGTTAGAAAGGAAACAGTTTGGAAAAAGCATATACTCATTCCAGGTAAACTTCTAATACGTATAATTTTAAAATTCTAATCACAGATAAAATTATAGTGGATTCCAACATAGGTATAAAAGGCAATGAGGAGGCAAATCGGTTGTCCAAAGCAGTCTTAAATAGTAGATTAACTGAGATAGCTCATTATTATTCCGAAGTTTTGCATAAATTTAAAAGAATTGTATTTAAGAAATGGAAAACCCATTTTGATAGTATATCTCATTCTAAGAGCATTTGGTACAAGGCAATACAGAACCAGAACCTCCCTGGGTGCCTTGGTGCAATTATGTGAGGGGCACACGATCTTTCATTGTAAAAATGCATAGACTCCGTTCTGGACATAATCCAGGCAAAGTTTCCATACCTGATAGACAAAAGCAATTCACATTGTGAAGTATATGGCACAATAGAGGATGTATATTATATGCTGATGGATGGGATGATGTAACCTATGCGGATACATATATATGCGGATGGATGCCAGTAACGAGAGTCTACGACACAAAATAACGTCAGACCATAAAATTAATATATTTGATGTTGGTGCCATACAAACTGTTTTAGCCGGTCCTTCAGATTCTGTGTTCTGTGCTTCAGATAGTGCGGCTAAGGCAATTTGCTCACTGGTGAAGTGATGTAGTTATTAGTTTTAGGGTACAAAGGGGCTGGCATGTACTTTTAGGTTGTACAAGTCATTTAGTAGACTTTTTTTTAATTCAGGGATTAAAAAAAGTCGAATAAATGATTAAAATATATTAACTTCCACGAGGAGTGCTTGTAAACTGATAAGAATATACTACAATTTATAAATGTTTGTGCTCACAAACACAGCTCTTGGCACCATGCCTTGGTCAGTTACTATGCACTTATAACTAAGTACAATCACATTGGTACTACAGTTTAAGGGGATAAATTATTCATTTGCATCTCCACGTACGTGAACAAGAAATCAAGATAAAATTGAAATTACATACACGGCGCATCAGTTTTTTATCGAACTATTATAATGCAGACCGCAGCTGGCCTTTACAGCTTCGCTGGACGAAAGAAGGGGAATTTGGAATTGATGCTCTAAACTGTAGTTTAGAGCACGAATTCCAAACCCGCAGGACTTATGGACTGGCTGAAAGCTAATTCCTGCTACAATACGACTTTAGTCCGAGGGCACCGCTAGAGGTTCTTAGCGCGGTTCGTCTCAGGCAGTCACAATTTCGATCGTCGATTGAATTGGGCATGGGATCAAACGTAGGGGGTTGGAAGGGATCGATCAGAGAGCTCCGTATCAGTAATACAAAATCTCCATATCTCAGTTTATTGCAATCAGTAGGTAGTTTGTAAAGTTCTTTGTTTTCCCTTTTACTAATATTTACTAAAATCAAAAGATGTGATATTCCCACGTAACATATTTTTTTAATAGGCTAAAACCAAAGGTGTGGCGATCACACCTTTTATTTCATAATGACGTAGCTGATATGTTTTTAATAGGATTCTGATTAGTATTAATTATTGATAAATAGTATTTATCATATTAAATTTGTAAACACATACACTTGCTGCATCCCTTTTCCACTAAACACACACCACCACATAGATATGACGCTTGCTTGAGGGACATATTTCTTAGGGTTACCTATTTTTTTCCAGGGTATCATAACACACTCCAAGGGACACACCGACACACTTATAGCATCCTTTCACCACACAACATACAACCACATAGATATGATGCTTGCTTTGATCTTTAGAAATATATCCCATATTTCTAAAGATAACCTATTTCTTTTTTCAGGGTAACATGACACACTCCAAGAGACATACACACACACAGCATCCCCTCTCCATACAATACACACCACCAAATAGACATGATGATTGATGGACATATTTCTGAATGATACCTATTTCATTCCACAGGGTATCAGTTATCAAATAGCGCATCTCCAAACCGAGTTGGAGGCAGCTCGACTTCTCACCTACAACGCAGCCCGTTTGAAGGAACATGGACAGGACTTCGTGAAGGAAGCAGCCATGGCTAAATATTACGCTTCAGGTAAAGACAATGATGAAGAATAGATATGAATTAGGTTTAATACACTTATCTACAATATCTGAATTGGGGTATTTGTATGTTTCGGCTGGCAACAAATAAAATCTGTTGTGGTAGTTTGTAAAGTTACTTTTATGAATGCATAAAATTATAACAAGAAGTTAAAATGAGAACATCGTTGCTCATAGCTATTACTTTACTGATACTTCGGTCTACTTCGATTGATAATAAATCAAGTAAATTGAAGGAATAAATAGTAAAATAAAATTTCGGTTTCGGTTAATTTACTGTAGAAATCAGAGGACCAATATTTTTAACCGTCATAGAAATTGTTTGTTACAAGAATGTTAAACAAAATATATTAGATGTAATATTTTACCTTAAAACCTACTTGAAGTTAAAACCTTATTCTACCCTAAATATAAACATATTTATTTTTCAGAAATTGCACAAACCCTGACATCAAAATGCATAGACTTCATGGGTGGTGTCGGATTCACACGCGACTTTCCCCAAGAGAAGTTCTATCGAGATGCCAAGATCGGCACTATATATGAAGGCACCAGCAATATGCAACTCCAAACAATAGCCAAGTACATAGAGAAGGAATATAAACAGTAATTCAGAAAATACTGTAACGACGAATATTTTTGGGTGTATTTTAAGTTAATTGCAATAGAACTCATATAAGATGTTACAGGAAGAAAAAATTATCTAATTCTAATAAGGAGACTCTGGTTCTGTACAAAAGGAAAATTTAAATTTCACAAAAGAATATGAAAATTTTGTTATAAAATTTTAAGCACTATTTTTAAAAATTATAAAATGAGAAAAAAAGAGACTTTTGAGGGAATAAAATACATTAGAAATATACCTGTTGTAAGATCCCAGTTACATTATAATATTCTTTTTTTCTTTCTCAGTTTTCTTTTCAAGTAGTTACAATAATGATGAATGTATGTCTACCCATAATATATAGTGCTATTCGTCAGAGTTGAGCTCTACTTATTTTGCATCTAAGTGCTACTGTGTTGTATATACAGGGCTAATTTACTTATGTGCTTATATATGAGTAAATGTAACACTACACATCACTACAAGGAGTCTTTAGAAAATTTATGAAAACAAGTCTTGAATGCAATTTCAAATCACATAGCTTGTATAAAATAAAGTATAAAGATAATGAAATTTCTATTATTTTAAAGGATTTGAATATTCAAAATAATGATAAATTACATACATATCACTTTCGTCCTGAAATTATTTTGAGATTGGGGTATTATTTTATCAGATTAATAAATATGGAAAGTCCATATTATCTTCTATGTACAAAGTGAGATTTTATTTTTTTATCAAAAAACTTACTTAAAGTTTTAATTATAATATATATTTGTAATACTGTATCTCGAAATATTTGTAAAGAAATATAGTTACATTGAAATGCATGAAAGTGGTCATTCTTAATAAAAATTTATATGTTTTGATTTTGTAACAGGGTTTTTTTTTATATTAGATCATTAGATCATTATTATAAACAGCATAAATAAAATATTGTTTGTTATGTCATCTAAAATATAAACACATATAAATGGACTTGGGTCCTTTTACAACCCTATTGTTAATAAAACAAAATTCTATAGTATATGCTTTTTATTTACTATTTTGTACAACAAACTAGATTTTTAATATTTACATTGATTAAATTAAAGGAGCATATTTAAGGTTTTGGATCATGTGGCAATTTGAATCCAACCATCTTTGCGGTATCTTCAACTGACCTTTCTCCTTTTCCCTTAAATTCAACATTGATTTCTTTATACATCCTCGAGTTATTCAAGTAGTCGACATATGTGCGTGCCTTAAAATGCATTTCATCAATTGCCTTGCATAGTTGTTGATCAGTTGTCTGATATTTTCGATACTGTTTAAATATGTACTGAACCATTTGGTTATCAGACAGTTTCTTTGCTGTACTCTGTTTACGTATTTCCGACAACAACTGCCTTAATGTAACAAGTACAGGTTTGGATGTAATCGAAGCCATTGTCCACAGTTTAGACCTTCAAACAAATCAAAGTTTCAACTTTTCTACCATTTGAGAAGTTATAAATTCCTCAGTATTGTCATAAGTGGGTTTATCAATTTTTTTCCATAAATCTTCATTCACAGTATCTAATTTTTCTTTGGGAAACCAGTGGATTGAAGTGTCATTAAATATATCAGTGTATTTGAAATTATTTTCCAGTACAATCTCAGATGTAAACGGAAATATTTTATATATATAGGTAACTGTTTCTGATAGTAATCTACTGGGTTGGCTTTCTATTAATGCATTAAAACTATTGCAAATAAGAACACAATTTGATAGTTTCAGGCCCCAGTTAGTCCAAAGGAAATTATTCGTCAACTGTTTGGGACAGTGAGGAAAATAAAGTAGGGTTATATCGCGATCAGAAATTACATAATTACCTTCAATGTTTTGCTCAATTACTTCAATATTAAAATGCTTTAATATGTCACATTCGCCTTGGTAAAATATTGGATCGTGTACCAAAACCTTTATAGGATCACAGTAGTCTTTCATACACAATAAAAAGGCCAGCTGATGCCTAGAAATGTGACATTCGGAGATATGTCCTAGTCCAAAACAAACGATTTCTACAACTTTCCTAGACGATATTACATTACTTACTGATTTCAATGCGTCCTCGGTGTACTTTGAATTTCTTAATTCCTCTACAGCGGTCTGTATTCGTCTAAAAAATACAAACAATATATAAGATAACCTCAAACTTTAAAGATAAAAATGTAATATTTATATAAATAATCACCGAGTAGATTTCTCAAAATCGATTATAACCTCTTGTGTTTCAAAATTCGTTTGTTTAGTAGGGATTTTAGTTTGTTTATTTTTTGATAATCGCTTTGTTTTTACTATTTGAAAACCATCACTGTCGCGACGGAAATTTGACATTTCTAAAATTTTATGAAAATGACAGTCAGACTGACTCAAGACTATATTGGCACTTTTTTTCCCCGCATTCAGCCTTTTTCGGTTTAAAACCAATAGAATAGCGCTATAACAGAAAATACCTAATCAAATTATTTTAAATAGCTTCTATAACTTCTCATTGCTAGAATTAAATCCAAACATAATAGCTACGTGGCTGCGAAGTACATTAAATATGAATCTATTTCGACGTCATCGGCTGACGAGGCGACATGCGGCGTGCTCGCCATTTTTTTATTAGTGAGAAGCGTTCACATAAAATGGTAATTTATTTAATTTTTTTGTTAATTTTAGGCCACATTGTATTAAAATTTACATATATATATAAAAGTATCATGTTTTTCTTAAGAATTATTAAATAATGAAGTGGCCGACTACTGGGTCCCATTTTTATATACATTATCTAGTACTCAAACCCCTGGCTGACTACTGGTTTTAACGCTGTTTGTCAAAAACCCAATAGTCGGCCACTTAAATAGTTAGAGTTTGTTACATGGCTGAGTACTGGTGACAGTAGACCCAGTGTTCAACCGTCCATATTTAAATTGTTTTTTATACAAAAAAAGAAAAGAAGCAGCTCTAGATTCTACCAAAAGTAAAGTGAAGGAGACTACAAAGAAGAAAAATTATGATTATGATAAGGAATTGAGCGTAAAATACACAAAGACAGACTGTGATTTAGTGGAAATCAGAACAAAATAAAATTAAAATTCTCAGTAATATACTTCTATATCCTGAAACTCCTGACACAGAAACCTGTAAGGAAGATAAGCTCCTAAAAAAATTGTTAATCGGCGACTTTTAGAAAGAAGAAGAAGAACTTGAAATCTTTTTAAATACTGATGTTACTAAAGAAGTTTCCGACTGATTTAAATATAAGTTAGATAGGTATTTGATTGTTGTGATTGTTAGGGCACAGTTAAGTCCTTTTAGGTTCTATGACCGGACTAATTATTTATTAATGTTCTTAATCTTTAAGCTTGAAACTATTGATCTTAAGAGAGGCTGACCACTGGTGGCAATATGGCTGAGTACTAGATTTTGGCGGCTGAGCACTGGTGAAAAGTGCCTTATTTTGTTAAAAAGTATTTTTCACGTTATTAAAGGATAAATTTGTAATTTTTGTTAATTTTTTAACAAAGTTTAATAAATGAGTTATTATACAAAAGACTTTCAATTTACTCTTTCTAATATTTTCTTATATAAGTTTGAACTCAGACTTACCACTAAAAGGCTGACTACTGGTGCCAGTACCCTATATGGTGATTTTTTTCTCATTCAACCATCTCTTTTTCCAATGATGGAGCAACGATCCTTAGACCGTACAGCCTAGTCTAGTTTTAAAGTTCTCCATATTATAATAGTATGTAATTAGTATAGTTACGTATATATATATTTTATTATTCTTAAATTATAAATTACGTATAAAAACTATTGTAATTAATTAGTTTAAATCAATATTTGGTAATCGGGAAGTTCATTACTATCCTTTCATATACGGCACGAACATTTTCACCGGCACATAACACTTGCATACCAATTTTAATACCACCCACGGAAATAGAACCCGGTAGACTACTCTGGACTAGACGTCACATAGAAAATAAAGCTGACCCGCGCAACTTCGTCTGCGTTTCATTTTCCCACCTTTTGCAATATTTTTCATTGCAGCTCCTCTCCTATTGGTCGTAGCGTATATGTTATATAAAGGTTCCTAAACAAATGGACTATCCAACACAAAAAGAATTATTCAAATCGGACCAGTAGTTCCGGAGATTAGCGCGTTCAAACAAACAAACAAACAAACAAACAAACTCTTCAGCTTTATAATATTATATAAGTATAGATTATGGGATCATGGCAAGTACATAGTATAAATAAAATATGCAATTTATATTTAAAAATTTCAATTTATGAACGCTTTGGCTTTCTATTAATGTTTTAAATCTCTACAAACTTTGCTATAACATGTGAAGTACCTATGAGCCGATGGCATACCTGTAAGAAAGTAAAATAGTTGCTTATAACTATTTCCCTATCTAGAATTATATCCGTCAGGCAGGGTTTACCTTAAACATATTATCTGTGCCTTAAGTCAGTCTATAATCTTTTCGCGGGTTTGGAACACCATCAGTAAATACTTGTCCGCTTTTGCAAAAGTAAAATTATAAGTGCGCCCTACAACACTAGAGTATCTAGTTCGATTTATAAAAAATAAAAAAACATCTCTTCTAGACACACCTTGTACTTTATATGCAATTTCTGCCTAATGATGCAACGCAAAAAATAAAAAATATACAATTTATGTATAAAACAATCTATTTGTATGTCTTTCTATAGTATTTATAGGTCCCAAACAGATGACCCGATTTCGAAACGGTTTATTTTTTTAAAAGTTAATAAATAAGATATGTAGTTCAATTAAAAAACTACTTATTTATATTTTATTTATTTATTATTTTGTAACATTCTATAAAATTATATACGACGAATTTAATGCCTGATGACATATTTTTTAGGGGACAACACCAACACTTTATGTCGGGGTTTTATTTAAATATTTGTGGCTTAATAATACCACAGATAATATAATATTACATAGTAGTACCTAGTAATTAATCTGGAAAAACCTAATCTGCACGACGACACTAAAAAAATGTATACCATTTTGAATTTCTGATATCATTCTTCCGGTGATGACAACACCAATAACAAACCAAAAAAATCATATTAGGTACATTATTCGGAAATTTTAAATAATTGTAGGCTTTGTACATTCGTCTATCCATATGATGCTGTGGATATACTACAGCAGTGTACATGATACAGTACGCTAATTTTAAGATGTTGCATTCTATAGATAATAGAAGATGATAACTATCTTCTATGGTTTACTTACCAGATACCAGACTGTTGGTTTTATGGATACTACAGTCTATGAGGCGAATAACAAAACAGCTAGACGAGGATATATTGGTAGCACGAAGGCTTTTATACTTTTGTCCTACAAACCTACTTCCCACACAGCATACGAAACGTCCTTGGTCGAGAATTTAGGTTGGGGAAATTACCTACTAACATGAGGGACAACAAATGCTACGCATATCGAGTGCCTATTGTGTTTTGTACTATACCGACAATCGAAATCTATGGATGATGCATTCAAACCACGCTCCCGTATTCGTTCCAACATACCGTAACATGAATAAGGCGACAATAAAGTGTACCATACATTATTATTAGCCGTACAAGTTTAGTCACAGGACGACGTTTTGTAACGCTCCCCTGAGTAAGCGCGCGAAAACTCTACCGTTCTTATTTTGAATTTTTTCTTTTTTAATTCCACTGCGTTCCATTTTAGTTACTCTTTTGAAAATATTTAAATAAACTTTCAAATTTTTATTAGCAACTAAGAGTGGTTGCAATTTGTACGAGTGTAGCACTAGTTATGACCGCTTTAGAGTAATCTATTCAGAAAGGTGTAATTAATTCGGTTCGCTTCGTTACTTTTTATATAACATATAATGTGGTCCGGTGGTCAAGATTTGTTTTTTATGTTTATTTAGTTTTACCGTGTCCGTAGACTGCAACTATCGTGTCGTGACTTTGTGTTTATGGTGCGAACAATTTATGTCAAATACATTGATTGTTACGTTGTGACGTAAAATGGAACGTTACACGGTGAACCGTAGATCTAAGAGGAAGAACGATGGATTGTTGACTAAGTGGAGAAGAAAATATGTCGGTGGTATCCTGAACAAGAGGTCGTGGATAAGAAGTGGATATGATCTAAATGTAAGTTTATTATTACCTATATTGACTCATTTTCATGTAAATGTAAATAGACACTGTTTTTCACATTCAACCTCCCATTTGGGCCATTGTAGCTCCACAAAAGCTTCTCAGAGCAACCTCACTGTTCCAAGTATTTATGTATGTTATAAAGTATCTGCCAAACACTCCAGGATTACACCGTTTCTTCAGATTCGAAGTACCTTCTGTACTGGACTAGACTGTCGAAGACTGACTGTAGCTCCTATTGTAAAGAGTTGTTTTTTAATAGACGACAATGGTATGATCCATCAGCCTGCGATAAAGGTATACGCTGACGGGGCACCAGTGGAGGATGATAAGATGAGTTGAAGTCAGGTCAGTTAGCCCATCGTTGCCTACTCACCAGGAATTAGGCAAGATCATCTTCAAGAGGGGCCGCATAGAGCCTGACCTGACAACTAGTGACCCCATTGCAGCAATATACCAATTGCTGCAATGGGGTCACTAGTTCTCATTGCTACCAATATGCTCTCCCTTGCATACAAGTGTGTATTTAGGAGACAGTGGCTTGTTATTGACCCTATTTTTATTTTAAGGTCATTCCTATTCATCTAATGAATGAATATAACAAATAATGAATGAACAGACCTCCTTTTATAAGTTTTTTTTTAAACATATTTAAAATGTATATCAAAAAAAGAAAAACATAAGGAGGTCTAATACGAACAATAATACCCACAAAAAGGTTTTGACATTTATATTTTTGTTTAATTCTATAGTTGTAAAGGATTGGTTATTAATTTATTTTACCTTAAAGAGAGACATTCTGCCATTGCCATCCGTTTTAGTAGGTATTATGCAAGAATTGAACTCTCGACTATAAACGTGAGTAAACTCTAAAGTAATTAAACTCTGTGCGCTGTAGCATGGTGCAGGTGACGGTTACTAATTTTACGTTTAACAATTGCTATATTTAAGTTAATACACTTATTAATGATTTAATATATTACGAATGTGGTACAGCTGAAGTACCTACTAAGTCATAATTCGTAAATCGCGGCAACTTTTAAGAGTGAAACGAAACGTGTACAACAACAACAGCGCACACGGTGTACAACGATCGTCATTCAGGATAAATAAAGGAACACCTAACCATAATTAATATGTATTAAGGAACCATAATATAAATAATAATAAAATAATGAATCATAGAAACAGTCACAATGTAAGTAGTCTAATCGTCTGCGGTTACGATATTACAACATAATAAATTCAATTTAATAACTAGGTTGGTATAGCATTGTGGCAGAAATTCCTATTCAATACATTGGAGGGTGAACACAGTACTATTTATATATACCTATATACTAGCTGGTACCGCAAATGTTGCCATATAAATGAAAAGCGCTATTAAAAATAGGGTTTGGTGCTAGAAGGGTAAAAATTTACGGTTATATGTATTTTAAATCGACATTAAAAAAATAAAACAGTCCTTATCACTTAGAGGTATTAAAAATAGATAGCCGATTCTCAAACCTACTAAATATGGATATAAAATTTCATAAAAAGTAGTATGGTAACTAACATTGGGACACGAGAATTTTATATATGTATATATATATATGTATATAGAAACAATAACTCAGGACAATTCACACAAACATCATCTAGTCTAAGCTAAGCAGAGCTTGTGCAAGTTTACTCATTTTGTATTGCTTTGATTTTAAATAATCTGTAATGTATACTATTTGTAATTAAGCCTATATGTGTGTTAACTTCTAATAAGTAACTTTTACTTTAGTTTATAATATTAGGTATCTAATGTCTTAAATAATCTAAAAAAAACAATCGCGTATGACAATGTATATGGAAGAGCGGGATGTATATGACACAGGCATTACTATTTTTTTTTTATTTATAGTATACTATGCTTACTAGGTCATCCCAACACTATGTTATTGTAACCGAATAGTTTTTTAAAGAAATAGACATTTTTCTTTTTTTTTTCATATGTGTACTAAGATATAAATAAAAATTCTTATATATCTATCTTGTGTTATGGATACCCAAGTTCATCATCTTCATCCACGTAATCAGCTGGTGCCCCGGCGCTATAGTGTATACCGGCGCAGACGAGATTATTGTTCCATATTAAAAAAAAAACACTTATGTCAGTATTCCAAGGAGCTGTAGGGGGGCTACTGATCGCTAGAGGACCGCGAATATGTGTATAGGGGTCTAAGATTCATCTCTTCAGAAGGTCAGAGGTTGAAGTTTATAAAGCGTTTATTTTTTTTTTTTATTTATTCATTTATTTCAGGCAACTAGGCCGATATTATAAATACCTTATGGACTAACATACATATAATATAATATTTAAAAACTAATACAATAATATTGTCTGTGTGATCACGGCACTGAAGACGGCAATCTGCCACGGTAGCGCCGATACACCACACCTTTCGGCCAGTAGTCCTCTTTCATGAAGGTGGGCAGCAAGTCGGTGGGGACCAGGGCCACAAACGCTTTGAAACTCGCGTTGTGACTCGACTTCAGCTGCGTTACCCTCAATGTCAGGTTACTCTTGGTACGAATATAATCGACAATGTCCTGCTCCTTAGTGGCGTAATGTAGACGGGACAGGTACATTGTCGTGGTCGGTGTAGCAGCACGCAGCAGAAAGTTGGGCCCAGTGAGTGCAGTGCCACAATGATTCCTATTGACCTTGTTTGTGCGCCTCTTCTTTTGTACCACGACAAAGCCATCATCGTCGCGGTTGCCATTGGCAGCACACGTAGGGTCAATGTTCAGTGCCGTTTTTGGCACACGCCGCTGTACTGAAGCAGTCGGTTTGCTAGCGACGACGGCGGCAAAATCTCGACGCTGTCGATCTTTATGGGAATGGACATATTTTTTTTTATTCGTCATTCTATATTTAATGTTTTAAGGATATTAAAACATACTGGTGTTCTAAATTCGACCATGACTAAGTTAAACTGTAAGTTTTAACATTATTGTCAAAGAATATGCGTGTGTGTATCTTAGGTATATATAGTAGTAGTGTCTGTAGTGTTCTTTTCATTAATTTAATGTATTCTTATGCATGACTTTAACAAAATATTGCACTTCTTTTCTATATAAACTATAAAATATATGTGCGAAATGTCATACTCCTCCATAGCGCGTATGGAGGAGTATAACATTTCGCATACTTTAGTAAAAAGGTGTCCAAAGTTTTTGCTTCACGTTTTAATATACAGATAACAGTTTTCAATTAATAAAGCTATTATACATGTAGTTATTATAATAATACAGTAACTATTAAAGCATATCAAATTATACAAGATTATTTGTAATAATTATTATATTGTAATACAATAAAACCTACTAAATAATTTAAACCATTGCGAAATAGGTAATAATCAATATTTACATACATAGTATAAAACAAAGTCGCTATCGCTGCCTGTCCATCCCTATGTATGCTTAAATCATTAAAAGTACACAATGGATTTTGAAGCGGTTTTTTTTAATAGATAGTGTGATTTTAGGGGAAGGTTTATATATATAATACATGTCCACCCGTGCGAAGCCGAGGCGAGTAGCTAGTATAACATAATATACAGTAGTCACTTATTGTTTTACCAATTTTTGTTGAGCTGTCCTATTATATTTATTTTTATCTGCTCCTTGGTTTAGTAACAGCACACAGCCTTACTTCCGATGGTCGCAGGTTTGATTGCTCCTACGATACTTACATTTATATTCATGAGTATGATTGTTTGTTTTAGTCCAGATTTTTTCTATATTATGTATTTCTTTGTAAAACAAATATATATAAGTATTTGTAACAGTTGTTTCATACCTATAACACAAGGTCTACTTAGCTTTTTCTTAGCGTTTTAAATTTGCCAAATATGCAGTTTAAAAAAGATGTACAAAATGGAAATATTTTTTAAATAATTTAATTGTAACTTTAAAAAAAAATATTAAATTAATCAAAATCACATTACACACGCTACCATATACTTGACACACACACACATTTACATTTAGCTAATAGTCTGAAATAATAAAAATAATCTCATGACAATTCACGCAGCGCCATCTAAACCAAGTTAAGCTAGCTTAAGCTCATGTTATAAGTACTAAACTGATACTAATACCGCATATAATATATATAGATATTTGTTTTTATAAATACATACATATTATACATAATCAAATGAACGTTATAATTCAAATTTTGAATTAAAATTACTATTATATTATTAAAAAAAAGTGCATTCAAAATATCGTCGCGGACACCTTTTTACTAATAAATAATATATGTACTATTTGCAAATTTATTATGCGCATACATAAAACAATAGTGGAAATAGTTAATTAGTTGTTATTTCTACACATATTGCACTAATATTTGTGTCTCGATTTCAAAACTGCATAAGGGGTCTAGTAAACTATCATCTTTACACGTAATAAAATCGTAGCGTATCATGAATTATTTGACGTATTAATTAATTTGAAGGCCTCGATGGTCTAACGGCAAACTGCTTGACTTTCGATAATCGCGAGTTCGAATCCTCGGTATAATAAACTGCTTTACTTCCGTGCTTAGACGTAGGTTCAATTCGTAGCATAGTCCAAACATTTGTATTCATGAGTATGGTTGTTTATATTGGTACCATACCATATGGTCTGGATGTTTTCTATATATGTATTGTATGTTAAAAATCTAAGTATATTTATCAGGTATCTAGTACGCATAATAACACAACTCTGCTTAATTTGGGCACAGTTTGGTAATAGACAGCATTGTGTGAATTGTCCAATTCATATCCTATATGTTATTCTGATATATCTGCTATATTACTGTAAAGTTTCATCAAAATCCGTACAGTAGTTTATGCGTGAAAGTGTAACAAACATCCATACTTACACATTTATAATATTAATAAGATTAAGATAAGATACTACCGACCCATCCCGGCTTCGCACGAATGCATTATAAATCTTGGGAT